GCATGCACATATCCTACGCCTAAGCACCCGCGGCTGCGGCTGCAGCCGCTGCTGCATGGCCACTTGCACCCTCCACCTGCCACGCGCGCGCGGGCGTGCGCGGCGCGGATCGCGGCGTGCCCCGCGGATTCAGGCTTGAACCACTTGTAGGTCCAGCCGCCCTCGCCCGCCCGTCGCCTGGCGACGTGCGCGTTCCTCTTGCGGAGCCAGTGGGCGCCGACTGCTCTGGGGGCGCCGCCGCCGCAGATGCACCGCCATCGTCGCCGTCCTGGGCGCCGCCCTCGGCACCGCCCTGGACGCCGCCCCCGGCGCCCGCGTCGCCGCCCTCGGCGCCGTCATCGGTGATCTCGTCGTCGTCCTGGGCGTCCGATCCCGCGAGCGATGCGCCGCCATCGGCGCCGTACTCGGCGCCGTCCTCGGCGTTCCTTGGGATGCCCAGCTGCAGCTGGAGAGCATGCACCACCTCGCCACACCAACGCACTAACAACTACACGTGCCCAGCTGCAGCTGGGCACCATCCAACAGCACTATCTGTCCTGCGCGGCCTGGGCGCGGAGGCGGGCGAGGGCGCCGGGCTCCAGCTCGACGAACAGGGACCGCCGCTCGTCGACGTTCTGCAGCACCCTGACGACTCCGCCACCGCAGGCGACCTCCACGATGGGGGGGAAGGCGCCCGCACCCACCATGGCTTTGTAGTCCTTCTGGGGGGGGGGGGCAGCTGCAGCTGGGTAGCAAGCGCGAAAACCGAGCACCCATATCCTTGAGAAGCTTGCGCATCTTGTGGGCGCCGTAGGTGCTGATGTCGGCCCCCCGCGGCGCAGCCGCCTGCAGGCTCGCCTGCTTGCGCTCGCGCTTCAGCGAGTCCTCCATCTTCCGCACCACCGTGCTGCGCTGTTCCAGTAACCTCCAGTGGGGATGTCCTGGTGCCCACGCATCGGACAATGCAAACTTAGTAAAAGCAGCCCTGCCCACCGCGTAGGCCACTGCATGCAATGACACATTAACCCCACCCAGACCGACCTACCCCGCGCGCGCGTCGGCCGTAGCAGACGCGTCGGTCGCTGGTTTTATATTTAGACGATGTGACCCCGAACGGGCAGGCGGGCGCGCGGCAGCACGGGTGTCGACTTTTCGATGGACATCCACTTCGCCAAAGGCAGTATCGTCGACGACCACCTCATTCGACACGCGCCATGCGCATCCGTCGTCGATGGTCACAACCGCTGGCCGAACCACCGCAATCGCCATGGGCACACCGCGGTCTTTATAACCCCTAGACCGCCGCCGCACCTGCGCCACAATGGCTAAGCGGCGACGCTGCGGATGCGCACGCGCCAAATCACACGACAGCTCGCCGCGTGGGCTGCAGCCCAAACGACGAGCATAAGTCGGGCGAACCCAGCACGCAATCCGATGCCCAGGCACTCTGTGCCCCGTCTGCGCCGCGCCATAGGTTGCACGCTCGGCCGCCGAGGGCATGACTATATAACTCCTGGTTGTGCTATAGGTTGCGCCCTCGGCAACCGATGGCATAGCTGGTTCCCATTGGTTGCGCCATTGGCTGCACCCTTGGCCGCCGAATACATATCTGGCACATAGTAGATTGTGCAGTCGGCCGCCGAGGATATAAGTTGCACCCAATGGTTTCGCCACTGGCTGCGCCCTCTGCCGCCGATGATATAGTTGGATCATTCTAGCTCTTATTGGCTGTGCCATAGTTTGCGCCCCCGCCCGTCAGTCAGTTACCTCGCGAGAAGCAAATTCTGGCTAACGCCCGACATGTTATGATATTCCTTGTCCCTCACCACCCCCGTTTCCCCTCCCGACATCCCTCTCGACGTCGTCATCCTCGTCGCGTATACTACACTGTCGCATTCCTCTGCCGCCCCCTCCCTCATCCGATCCGCCGCCCCCCCCCCGCGCGGGCTGCAGCCCATCGGGCGCCTGCAGCGACCCGGCGCGCGCAACTGATTATCGGCGCGCGCGGCCGACGCGCCGCCGACAGACATCGATGGGTTCATACGTCAGCCGACGCCCAGTCGTCTGAAATGTCTCCCGACGCGCGGTCGGCAGACCTGTGCCGCGCAGCTATCACTGCACCTTGCGCTTCTGCCCCCCTCTGCAGCGGCGGCACATGCAGCTTGAGCTGGTCGCTTGTGAGGCTACGCAAACCGCGCGTCGTCGTTGTCGTCGTCGTCGTCGCGCCTGGCTTCACCTCCTTGGTGTTCACCATGCACGGCACGTTCAGCTTGTGTGTGCCAGTGTTGTCCGTCAAGACCACCTCGACGGCGCTCTGCTTAATGTTGCCGTCGTCGGAGGAACTGGGGACCTGCCAGCACGGCGCCGCCCGCGGAGGCGCGCCTTCTCGCCCGCAGCGAAGTGCGGCAAGATGGCAACGTTGGATGCCGATGGCGGCATGCCATCGCGCTGCAGCGCGACGGATCCCAGGTCGACCGCCGACGTCGGCTTGTCAGCCCAGGTCGCGCCAGCGGCCTTCGTGACGAACCTGGTGCTGGACGCCACCAGCGTGAGCCCGCCTTTTTTTGCACTTGGTGTCGCCTTCGGGGCGCGAGCTGCAGCTCGACGCCCAGGGTGAACCGTCAACCTAACACAACTAATCACACATACAACGCTGTTTAGGCACAACGCGCCTGTGAGATGCACCGCGGTCGGGAGCTCCAAGATCACGATGGCCGCGATCACCTCGCAGTGCTTGTCACGCGCGACTCGCGCCGCGCGCGCGCATATGCCGATGGCGACGTCGGCGCCCCAGCCGCTGAGGTCCACGCCGCGCGGCTGCATGGCGACCTGGCGCATAAAACCCCCCAGCAACGTCATGGTTTTCTTCTCCAGCTCGGCGTCGATGTCGACCGTCTTTGGCTCCATGACGCGGGCGCCCGCGCGCTGCCTAGTAGCAGCGCGCGCGTCGGTAAGGTGCACGGTCGTCTCGGTCACATCCGTGACCTCCCATGCCTCATTTCCGCCGCTCGCTTTAAAAATGACGAACACCCCTTTCACGACGCCCATCGCTTCTATCTTGTACTTGGAGCTCTTCACCTGCCCCGCAGTCAGTGGGCCCGCGCCGCGGGCTGCCGACGGCGCCGACGACGCAAGCGTCGGCGCGCCTGCCCCCTCCCCACCCCCCAAGCTAACGCCGAGCGCCTCGGCCACCTGGGGCGCCTTCATCTGGAGCCTCCCGCCCAGCGCCAGGACGAACTCCTGCAGCATGGCTTCAGCCAATGATACCGCACGTCGTCGGGGAGGGGCGGGGTGGGCTGGGGGAGATAAAGGGGGGCGGCTGCAGCCGACATGCCCGCGTAAAGTCCCGGGCGATCTGGTCGAGGCTCGCGTAGCCCTCACCCGTGCACTCGATGTTCCTGCGCTTCGCCAGGAGCTTCGCGACCTTGCAGTCAGGCGACCCGATCGCCATTACCAAGCCCCGATCCTGTGGCGAGCATTACTAACGCATGGTTGCATGCGGGGAGGTCGGTTGCAGCCGACCACCCCTGAGGCATGACGCGGGCATGCATGTGCTATGCAAGTTCGGCTGAATCCGTCCATCAGGCCGTCGGCAGTGTCGATCAGATCGCGCGCCCTGCTCATGAGCTTCTCGCCCGCGAGCAGCTCTGAGCGGGTCTTCTGGTTACCGAGCGAGGTCACATGGGTCTCGAGCAGGAGGCTGCACCTGGCAAGCACGCGCATGAGAGACACCATCATCACACATTGAGGGGTGGGGGTGGAGGGGGCGTGCACCTGCCGTCTTTCGCAACGTGAGACGTCAGGTTCGCCTTGAGCAGCGCGTTGCACACGTACGGGGTGGGATCCCTAGGGAATTTCTTAGCCAACGCGTTGACTGCCGAGATGAAGTCAGACCCCATGGTCTTGGCGGTGCCAACAGTCACCTAAACATCGCCGCTGCAGCGGCGAATGGCGAGGGAGCGGGGGAGGGGCGCGCGTCGGAACTGGCTACAGCCAGGTTTGTCAGCGCCGCAGCCTTGGCGTAGGCGCCCAGGTCCTTGAGGAGCTCGCCGTTGCCACCGCTCCCCTGCACGTGCGCGAGTAGGTGGTGCAGCCATGCAGCGCACTGCGGCTGCTCCGCAGCAGCCGTCGCCATGATCGCCTCCTTGGGCGGCGTCGCGCCCGCGGCGTTGGCGATGTCGAATGCCTTCCTTCTGCGTGCACATCATCACCATTACCTCCGTCTTCTCCTCCTTCACGTCCAAGTTCGAGGCTTTCTGAATCCACTGCAGCGCGATGCTGCGATTGTCGACATCGTCGTCGTCGCCGCCGCCGTCGTCGTCGTCGTCGCGCGCGCGCGTTCGACGGGGGGTCGGCGGCGCAGCTGCAGCTGGGCGGACGAAATCAACGAAGCTTGGCATGTGCACCTCCACTTGGTAGGACACGACGGCCCACGTCAGTCCTTGCTCGATCGCCTCGATGAAGGCGGGCTGTTCGTGGAACAGCTCCTTGTGCAGCCGACTTCACACGTCGGCTAACTCACCCTCCTGGGTCTTGCACCCCGCGCCGACGGCGCGGAGGAACGCGTTGGCGTGGCCCCCACCAATCGCGAGGTACCTAACCCGATCAGAGGGCAGGCTAGGGATGCGCTGCCCCGACCGCTGCACGAGCTCCTCGTTGAGTGCCAACGCGTGCTTCAGCGAGGCGGAGCCCACTGGCGGCGCCCCTCTCTCTCTCTCTCTCTCTCTCTCTCTCTCTCTCTCTCTCTCTCTTTCTCCCTCTCTCTCTCTCTCTATGTCTGTATACAGGTCCCCTGTATGCGCATACCCGTCTTCCCCCCTTTGGCCAGGACGCGCCGCCCCAACACGTCCGTAGCCTGTTTGGGCTCAAGGATCCAAGCATTTCTTCGGGGTCACGGCCGCGAGCTGTCTCGGTGGCCGCGTGGCCTGCTGCGAGGGCCGCCATCCGCCCTCCTCGCGCCCCTGGCGGCAGCGCAGGGAGGCGAGGGTCGCTGGCCTGGCTCCTGGCAGGCGCGGGGCTGGATGGCCCAGGCGGCTGTCGAGGACCTCGACGGTGGAGACGAGGACCTCTGGGAGGCGCCGGAGGCCGTCGTGCCCGCGCCCGTGGAGGACGGGCCCGTGCCGATCGTCCCGCTGGCGGTAGCCCAGGGCAAATGCTACTGCAGCACGGGCTACACAGCGGGCGGCCTCGAGCAGTGCCGGTTCGCGTGGCGGGCGCTGCGTGTCACCAGCGCGGAGCCGCCGCAGCGCTTCGTGAAGGCCGAGTTCCTCTTCAGCGACGACGGCTACTGGGACTGGTGGGCCAGCCACCCTGGGCAGCCGAGCGCGGTGACGGAGCGCCCGCTCATCCACGTGTGCTCGGAGAACCCGTGCTCCGTCGTGGAGGGGCCGGGGGCGTGCACCGAGCTGATCCACGTGGCGGACGGGGCAGAGCTCGGCCTCACGGACCTGCGGGCGCTGTTCGTCGAGTGACAGGAGGTGAACCCAGAGGCGGCTTGGCCAGCAGCAAGCCTCGGGCCGCTGGTCGCCGCCGCCGCCCCCGCGAGGCCCGCTGCGGTGGCCAAAGCGGCGGGGCGCCCACCAGCCGCAGCAGGTCCTCTCAGGGCCCCGCCTGGCGCTGCCCCCTTCGACTTCCTGAGCGTAGGAGGCTCGTCGCGCGGCCCCGGCTCGGAGCTGGCCGCAGACGAGGAGGCAGCTGCCGCGGGCGGCCTGGGAGGCAAGCTCGCAGGGGCTCGTGTGCGCTTCGAGCAGGGGAAGCGGGCTGCTGGAGACGTCAACCTGGACGGCTCCCCCCTCGGCGCAGAGGCGGCTGGCGAGGGGCCTGTGAAGAGGCGGTCGCTCGGGGACCTGCTGGTCGAGCGCGCCGCGAAGCTCAAGAGGGCCGCCTCGGACGCGGCCCCCCGAGGGTCGGGGGGCCCTGCGCCCGAGCGGGCGCCGCCAGGAGCTGGCCTGAGCGGCGGCATGCGGGAGCTGGCGCAGGCGCTCGTGATGGCCATCCGCGAGGGCAAGGAGGCTCTCCCTGGCGACATCGGCGGGGACGGCCTCGGCTCCTCGGACCCCGCGGCGGTGCCGCGCGACCTGGCCACGAAGAGGGCCTTCTGTCGTCGGATGGCCGCCGCCTCCCCGGGCCGCCTCACGGAGCTGAGCCTGCAGCAGATGGCGGACTTCCTGGGCTCGCAGGAGGGGGAGGCGGCCGTCGACGCGACGGGCCCGATCGCCCTTCGGTACCTCCTCACGATCTACCTGCCGCAGCATCCGGTGAAGGAGATCGGCGTGCAGACGTACCGCGAGCCCCGCACCCTCGCGGAGGCGGTGGACCTGCTGATGCAGGGGAAGGCGGCCCACGCCTGCGACCTGATCGTCCAGCGCCTGAAGGCGCTGCAGGTGGCAACGACGGACGGCTCGTGGGCGGCGGCGAAGTGGTTGGAGCTGATCCCGCCGCGCGACGAGCCCACGGCCATCCGCAGCGAGGAGGAGGAGCTCATCCGCAGCATCCAGCTCGGCGAGATGAAGCTGGACGAGCTCTCCGCGCGGCTGGCCTCCGCCAAGACGCCGGGATAGGGCGGGGGCCCGACGGGGGCGCGCCCGCCGCTGGCGCCTCCGTCTGTTGGCCAGGCAGGGGGGGCACCCCCTGCGACAGCGCAGGCAAAGGGACCTGGGGGGCAGGCCCCCCGCCAGCCGCGGGCTCGGCCGCCCCGCAGGAAGGCTTCCGCGGCGGCTCCGCCAGCCCCCCTGGCGGCGGCCGCAGGCGGGCCTCCCCCGCGGGCCGAGGGGTCGGCGGCCCCACCGCCGTGGAAGATGTCCTTCGCGGAGATGCGGAAGAAGTTCCCGAAGCAGCCGGGGGAGACGAACACCCAGCACCGCCTGCGAGCCTTCAAAGCTCGTGCGGCGGCGCGCCCCCGTCGGACCTGAGCGGCGGCAGCCTGCCGCCTGCCCCGCGCTATGGTGGGGCCTCCTCAGGGAGGGTGGCCGATGCCTCCATCAAAGGCGCGAGCCCTGCGAGGGGTGCTGGTGGGGGAGTCCGCGGCGTGGGCCAAACTCGGTTTACCGAGGGCGGAGATCGTGCCACCCTATGCGGGGGGGGTGAGGGCGTCGCGGAGCCCCCGCTGGCCACCGCGCTGCAGTGCTGGTCCGACGAGCTCTCCTTCGGCTTCGGCAAGAGCATCGTCGCGGTCGACCTGGCGGCGCGGCTGGTGGCAGCAGTGCGACGCCACCCAGGCAGCCTTGGCAACTTCGCTCGGTCGTTCAGCATGCGTGCGGACACATTTTGTGGGAGCGGAGGGTCGTCGAACAGGAGGGTTCGGGACGCCCTGCCGCTTCCCCTTCCGTCGACCGAGGAGGTGGACCGCTGGCTGGCCCACAGTGCCTTGCCCAAGGCACGCAGGTGCCGCCGCCGCGCCGTGGCGCGGGAGGTCAGCGAGCAGGCGTGGCTGTACCTCAGCGTGGTGGCGCTCAACTACGCGTTCTGCGGCCGCGCGCAGGAAGGCTGGCGCCACAGGCCGACCCTGTCGAAGGCGCAGACGCAGGTCTACGTGCACTTGAAGAGCCGAGCGGCGGCCCTGGCGGAGGACCCGCTGGCCATGGTCGTGGTTCCTGCGATCGACGAGCTGGCGGGCGGCTGCGGGTCAGCGTACGAGGGCGAGTCGGGCGTGAAGGCCCTCCCCTGCCGGCTCTGCGAGCTGGCCCCTGGCCTGCCCGCGCGGGAGTGCGCTGCCACGCTCGACGCGATCGACTTCGTGGACGACGAGGTCGGCGCCTGGCTGCGCCGCCCCGAGCTGGCGCTCCTCGACCAGTCCGACTGGCCCGACCCGCTGCCGCGGGCCCGCGTGAACGTGGAGACGGAGGCGGACTGGGAGGAGCTGGCGCTGCACCTCGTGTCGCTCGGCATCTTCACCACGCTCGCGGAGAGCGAGCTGGTCCGCGCGAGGGGCGAGCCCGTGCTGAACGGCCTGTTCGCGGTGGAGAAGAAGGGCACTCCAGCGCCTGGCGCCACGCGGGTCACCAGGCTCATCCTCAACATGGTGCCAGGCAACTCGCTCCTGAAGGCCCACGTGGGCGAGGCGGCGCTGCTTGCGGCCTCGACGTCGTGGACGTCGGTCGTGATCCCCGAGGGGAAGCTGCTGCTGTGGTCGGGCGACGACCAGAAGGGGGCCTTCTTCGTGTGGCGGGTCCCGCCCGCGTGGCACCCCTACATGGCCGTGGGGCGGCCGCTCGCGGGCAAGCTGTTTGGCCGCTCGGAGCCCGTCGTCTACGTGACCTCGGCTGTCATCGCCATGGGCTGGTCGCTCGCGGTGCCCGTCTTCCAGCACATCCACCGACGGCTGTGCCGCCTGGCGCCGCCCCTCGGGGCGGGGCTTCCCCCAGACGGGGAGTGGCGCAAGGATTGCGCGCGGCCCCTGGTCGAGGCGGGCAGCGGCCAGGACGCTGGCTGGTGGCAGGTCTACGTCGACGACTTCGATGCGCCGGAGATCGTCGAGGAGGTTCTGGCCCGCGAGGTCGTGGGGACCCCGAGCGACCTCCAGCTGCGGGTCCGCGCCAGCTACGAGAGGGCGAGCGTCTCCTTCTCGGCCGAGAAGGCGCACTGCAGGCAGCTGAGGGTCGAGCGCATGGGCGCGGACGTCGACGGCGTCAGCGGGCGCCTCGCGGTCCCCGCCTCCAAGGCGCTGGCCACTGCGGGCCTCTGCTTGGCCGCGGTGCAGCGGCGCCTGGTCCCGTGGCGCGTTGCCATGGCGGTCCTCGGCAAGCTCGTGAGGGCCTTCGAGTTCAGGCGGCCGCTCTTCGGGGTCCTGAACTCCGTCTGGACGCTGGCTGCGTCCTCAGCGCAGGGGGCTTTCCTGGACGCGGAGATGGTGGAGGAGCTCCTGATGGGCGTGATGGTCCTGCCGCTGGCCGCCTCCTCGCTGCGGGCGCGCATCGACGGCATGGCCACGTCCTCGGACGCGTCGGAGATGGGCGGCGGCGTGTGCACGTCAGCCGGCCTGCGCGAGGATGTCGCCGCCGCCTTGCAGGTGCCGAGGACGGTCCCCGACCAGCTGGGGATAGGGGCCAGGCTCCTCAACATGCCCGAGGACCCCGCCCGACCGTGGGCGGCAGCCAACCCACGCGTCCCCGCCAGGGCAGTCCGCAGGGTGTTGTCGGTGCTGCTCATCGGCTTGTTCGACGGCATCGGAGGCCTCGCCGTCGCCTTCTCGAGGCTGCCCGTCCGCATCGCGGCCTACGTCGCGGCCGAGACGGACGCCAAGGCGAGGCGCGTTGTCAGGCTCCGCTGGCCAGGTGTCATCGACTGGGGCGACGTCACCTGCGTGGGCAGCGAGACGGTGCGGGACCTGTTCGAGGCGTTCGGCGGCCTCGTCGACCTGGTGGTGGTCGCTGCGGGCAGCCCCCGCCAGGACCTGTCACGCCTCAACGTCGGCGGGCGCGGCCTCAGCGGCAGGAAGTCCTCGCTGTTCCACGAGGTGCCGCGTGTCCTGGCTCTCCTCGCCGCCGTCTTCAGGGACAGGCTCGTTTGGTTCGTGGAGAACGTGGCCAGCATGTCCGACGTCAACGTGGAGCTGATCTCGGAGGCGCTGCAGGTGAGGCCGACGCTGGTGTGCTCGTCGGTGTTCGTGCCGTGCCGCAGGCCGCGCCTGTTCTGGACGAGCTGGGGCGTCACCGCATCGGCGCCTCTTCGGCTGGCCGACCGCGGGGTCTACGACGAGCTGGTGGGCCCTGGCGTCCCGCTCATGGACCTCGCGTGGGAGGACGAGGGCTGCTCTTGGCCAGGGAGGCCGAGGTGCTTCCCCACGCTCGTCTGCTGCAGGCCCCAGCCCTCCTTTCTCTCAGCCCCGCGTGGCTTCGCGGCTGCATCGGAGGCGGCCCGTCAAAGGTGGGCTGCGGACGGGCACAGGTATCATGTGGCCTTGTACGAGGACAAAAACATGATCTGCACCTCCTCGTTCCCTTTCCTGCGCCTCCCCACCAGCGAGGAGAGGGAGCGGCTCCTTGGCTTCGATGTGGGGTACACCTCCTTAGCCACCAAGGGCTCGAACCCTCAGGACGCCTCCGACGCCGGGGCCTTCCTCCTCGGCAACAGCTTCAGTATTCACGTCGTGGCATGGTTGTGCCAGCAGCTCCTGCACCGCCGCGGCGCGCTGAACAGGGAGCTGTCGATAGAAGAGGTGCCCCCCGTCCGCGAGTGCTGGGCGACGTGGGACCAGGCGGGGGCCTTCGTCACGGAGCCAGGGGAGCCGGACACCGCGGAGGCGAGGCAGCTGGTCCTGCACTACCTCAGCCGCGCGGAGAAGGGCGGGTCGGACGTCAGGCTGGACTACGGCGTCCCCTACCGCCCGCGGGGTTGGCCGAGGACGAGCCTGGACCCGTTCGTGTGGAAGTGGCGCGTGGTGGTCAGCATGGCGTGGCCCGGCCGGAGCTCCACCCACATAAACGTGAGAGAGTTGCAGGCGGCCACGTCGGCGATCAGGTGGCGCGCCCGCAAGGTCGCGCAGCACGGGAGCAGGTTCTTGCACCTCGTCGACAGCCAGGTGGTCGCGGCCATCGTGACGAAGGGCCGCAGCAGCAGCAGGAAGCTCCAGCCCATCCTGAAGCGCTGGATGGCCGTCGTCGTGGCGGCCGACATGTACCCACTGATCGGCTACGTGGTCTCGGAGGACAGCCCTGCGGACGAGCCGTCGAGGAGGCTGCTGTGGCGTGGCTCGAAGCCCAGGAGGCGAGGGCGACCCGTGCCGCGCGCGCGGCCGCTCACCGCAGGCCCGCGCCCGTGAGGCGCCGCGGGACGCGCTGCCAGACTCTCTCTTCCCTGAGGGTGTCGGCGGAGACGCGGCGGCGCTACGGGCGGGCCCTGCGGGCCCTGCTGGCCCACTTCGGAGCCGAGCAGGCGGGGGCGGACGCCTTGCGCGGCGACCCCGAGGACGCCGACGCTCTCGTCGCGGAGTACCTCGAGGGCCTGTGGGCCTCTGGTGCGGGCATCGCGGCCGCCAACAACACGCTGGCGGGGGTGTGCTTCGCGGCGCCTCGGCTGAGGCGACACCTTGACCTGAGCTGGACTCTCCTCAGGGCATGGAGGCATCATGAGCCAGCGTCCAGGGTGCTGCCACTCACGACCGAGGCCGTCGCGGCCATGGCGGGGTTCGCGTGCGTTGCAGGCGCTTTCGACGTGGCCGCCCTCCTTCTCGTCGCCTTCGAGGGCATGCTCCGAGGCGCGGAGGTGTTTGCCCTGACGGTGGGCGACATCGTCGACCGCGGCGAGCTGTTCGCGGTCCGGATCAGCTCGTCCAAGACCACGGCTGGCAAGGACTGCGCGGAGGCAGTCGTCATCCGCAGCAGGATGGCCGTGGCGCTCCTGCGGATTGCGGTCCGCGGCCTTGGTGCAGGCGCGCGGCTCTCATGGAGGACGCCGTCCCAGCTGCGCGGTGCCCTCGGCGCCTTGGCGAGGGGCCTGGGCCTGGCGGGGCCCATCACGTGGCACAGCGTCCGGCGCGGCGGGGCGAGCGCCTTCTTCGTCAGGAGCGGCTCCATGGAGGCGACCCTCGTGGCGGGCCGGTGGGCCTCCTCTGCCACCGCGCGCCTGCACATCGAGGGCGCGGTGGCCGACTCAGTGCGCGCCCAGCCCGGGAGCGAGGCAGCCCGCGCCGTTGCGCGAGGACTGCGGCTCCTGCAGCTGGCCACTGCAAAAAGCCACTGCTCGCGCCCAACAGCGCTTGCCAAAAATCGGGCGTTTGTCTTCGCTGCGGCGAAGGCAACCGCCCTCCCGCCGTGGGGCCGCGTGGCCCCCCCCTCTCTCTCGGGTCCTGGCTTTTTGGGGTCCCAGGGCCCGCCCGTTGTGTGGGGGGGCGTTCTCTGTTTGGGGTCCACGCCCGTCTCACCCCCTCCGTGCATCGCGTCACCTCCTCCCGTCGCCTCCCCCCGTCACCTCCTCCTCGAACGTGCCGACCCTTTCGGGGTCCAACGGCCGCGAGAACGGGACCCTGAGGGGGGGATAACACTCTGCGCGGCCTGCCCTTTGGGCGTTGCCGCGCCGCTCCGGCGGCTGCAGAGTGTTGCCCCCCTCCTGGGTGCCGTCCTCATGGTCCTTGGACCCCAGAAAAGACTGCCGTACCGTGTGGAGAGCAAGGGCTGGAGAAGGGCGTGGAGTGGGGGGGTGTGCAGGGGGGCCGAACCAAGGGGCTGCTGGGGGATGTCTGGCACGTCAAGGGCCGCCCTGGGCGGTGCCTGCCCCGCGTCAGGGCTGTGGCCTGGCGCGGGTAGCGTGTCCAGACCCCCCTGGCAGTCCTGTGGATTGCCCCCCCGCACACCCCCGAATTAAGGACCGGCATAAATATGTTATTTTCAGGGGGGGTTGGGAGTTAAACACGGGACGGCCTACGTAGCCTTAAGGCCAGTAGGTGGGGGAGTTAGATAGCGTAGGCCCCCTCCCCAGATTGCTGCATGCGAACGGTAGAGGACCACCTCGCACGCCTTAGGTGGCAAGCGCGCGGTGCGGTAGGCGCCGCGTGCTTGCCGCCTAGGAAATGCGTGGCGTAGGGTACCCTTGCATCCCGGCGCGTACAGTAGCTGGGGGGTTTGAGGGGGGTCTAGCCTACTCTGACCATTGGCGTGTCCGCACGCAAAAAGGTGGGGCAGGGTATGTCTGTATACAGGCCCCCTTGTATGCGTATACCCGTCTTCCCCCCTTTGGCCAGGACACGCCGCCCCAACGCGTCCGTAGCCTGTTTGGGCTCCCACCCGCGGTCCACCCCTTCCGTGTTGAGGCACGCTTTCTGCTGGTGCCGTAGCCCAGAAGATAGCGTAGGCCCCCTCCCCAGATTGCTGTATGCGAACGGTAGAGGACCACCTCGCACGCCTTAGGTGGCAAGCGCGCGGTGCGGTAGGCGCCGCGTGCTTGCCGCCTAGGAAATGCGTGGCGTAGGGTACCCTTGCATCCCGGCGCGTACAGTAGCTGGGGGGTTTGAGGGGGGTCTAGCCTACTCTGACCATTGGGGTACGGGGCAGGGTATATATATATATATATATATATATATATTATATATATATATATATATATATATTATATATATATATATCAGACTTATGACTACAGGTCATTGGGGTATCTCGGGGGTCCCGCAGAAATCGCCGATCTTATCTCGCAGCTTTCTTGCTCTGATGTCTTTCTGTGCACCGAGGGTGCACGTCGGCGCGCGAGCGAGCTGATAGCAGCTCGCCTCTGCAGGCCGCATGGCGGACGGCGAGGGCGCCTCGGCGGCGGCCGTGGGCGAGGGCCGCACCGTGCGGGCAGGTGACTTCATCCAGGTCACGTGCTACGACGACGCCGACGCCGTGCAGGGCGAGGCCGTGTTTCGGATCGCCAGCCTGTACGAGGCGAGCGAGCACGGCCAGTTCGCACGCGCTGAGTTCCTGTTCTGCACTGATCAGTATTTGCAGTGGTACGAGGAGAATGCGGGATCCCCTGGAGCCAGGAAGTTAAAGCGTGTTCTCCATTTTTGTCCAGAGGATGAGACGGCCATCCTATGCGCTGCGGAGGCGGGCCCTGGCGTGGAGGTAACGCACGTCGACGAGTTCGTGGTCCTTGAGTCGGTAGAGGAGGCGTACCTCCAGTTCCGGCGACGCAATCCTGCTGCGCGCTGGCCTGCCGAGCTGGGGCCCGAGCCGCTGGAGGAGGAGCTGGGGGATCCCGTGGACGAGGAGCTGGTGCCCGCCGAGCTGGACGAGTTCGGGCTCGCCGCCAAGGTCGTCGACTCCGTGGGTGAGCTCGAGGCCGTTCGCGAGGCGGAGGGGCCTGGCGCCGCCGCGGGCCCTCCTGGGCGTGCCGCCTTCAAGGCGCGCGGTCGGCCGCCCGCTCGGGCTCGGCCACCTGCCGCGGCCGCGTCGGAGCCCGCGGGGCTGCCTGGCGGGAGCGTTCGCCCCCGCGGCACCGCCGGCGGGGAGACCCCGCTCGAGGCCGCCGCCGCCGCCGCTGCGAAGGAGCCTGCAGGGCGCCGCCCTGACGAGGAGATGCAGGCGCTCCTCCGCAAGAGGCTGGGCGACTTGAAGGGTCGTCTGGGCGCCGAGGGCGACGCTGCCGCCGAGCCTCGAGGTGCCGCTACTGAGGGGGCCCCGCTCAAGAGGAAGTCCCTGGATGAGATCCTGGCTGAGAGGGCGGCGAAGGCTCCCAGGCGTGGGCCCGCGGACGGGGGCGCAGCTGGCAGCGGAGGCCTGGCGGGCGCTGGGCCCGAGCGTGAGGGCGGCGGGTCTACCGCTCACCTCCTTCGCTCGCTGCTGGGCGCGCTCACCCCTGCCGAGGGCATCGAGGGCTTCGGCATCACCGACGGCTTGGAGTTCACGCCTGGGAAGTCGTCGGCTGCCTCACGAGCGTTCTTCAGGAGGACTGCTCGCGACACTCCAGGGAAGCTGCTGACGGCCCATTTGTCGCACCTCAATCAGTTTCTCAGCACAAAGGGCATGCACGATGCCGAGGAGGAGCTCCCTCCGATAGTTAACAAGTTCCTGCTGAACATCTTCTTGGCCTCGCACCCTGTTTCAGCAATCGGCGAGGACATGTTCAGGCAGATGCTCACTCTGTCCGAGTCCCTGGACCTCTTGATCCAAGGGAAGCTCCCGGAGGCCATGGACATGCTCATGCAGAGGTTCAAAGCCTGCCAGCTCGCCTGCAAGGATAAGCATTGGAGGAGCGCGCGCTGGCTGGAGCTCATCCCTCCCGATGCCGACATGGCTGCCATCAATATCGAGGAGGAGGAGCTTCTGAGGAAGATCGAGTACGGCGAATTGAAGCTCGCCGAGCTCGCGGGGAAGCTCAAGCCTGTCGGCTAGGGACTCGGCCGGGGGTCCGCTCCACCCAGCATGGGAGCGACCCCTGCAGGCCACCCCAGCGACGGGACGACTGGTGGGCCAGCTGGAGGTCGGGGTTTTCAGGAGGCGGCTCGCACTGCAGAGGTGGCGGGCGCGAGTCGCCAGCCTCCACGCCCCCCGACGACGGACAGGCCCTCCAGGACTTTCAAGGAATTGAAGCTGCAGAACCCCAAGAAGGACGGCGAGACGCAGGGCAAGTACCGGCAGCGCCTGGCGCTGCTCATGCGGGGCGACGGCCCCAAGAGGCAGGCGCCGCCAGTGCAGGGCGGTGCTCGCAAGGTCATCCTGGAGGGCGAGGGCTCGCAGAACCAGGCCGCCAACAGAAGACTGCCGCTCCATGGGCGGCACCTCGGCGGTGACGCACGCCACCGAGGCTAATTCGTCGTGTGCCAGCGGCGGAGCGAGCTGGCCTTGGACGCTCACTAGCATGTCCGACCTGAGGGCCTGGAAGTCCAGGCTTGCTGCGGCCCTCGAGGATGGCATGACCCCGCTCACCTTCGCGCTCTGGCTGATAGATGCTATGTTCACACACCCTGGCAGGCTGGGCAGGTTCTGTCGGGGTTTTCTTCACCACGCGCATTCACCGCAGCAGCAGGGGCAGAGGTTTCGTGATGTGCTGCCTCTTGCTGCTCCATCACTGGACAGTGCCAGGGCCTGGAAGGGTACGTCGAGGGGGTCAGCGGCGGGGACCTCGGGTGAACCTGGACCCGATTTTGATGGGCCTTCTGCTTGCGCTGTCGCTGCCGAACTGTGGGTCTTCATCCAGGTTATGCTCACGAACTACCAGTATGCGGGCACGTGCGGGGAGGAGGCGTGGGGCCACCACTCGCACTACTCCGCCGCTCAGGCCAACGCCGTCGAGGTCATGAGGGAGGCTGTCTCGTATTTCCTCAGGGGCGACCTTGGCAGGGTTCAGCTGCCCCTCCTTAGTGAGATCTCGACGCGGGCGTCCAGCGCTTACGACATCGACAGTGGCACGCGTGCGCTGCCCCTTAGGCTGGGAGAACTACGACCTGGCCTACCAGCAGCTGATGTCGCTGGCCGGCTGGACCCTCGTGCTCATGTCAGCCCTGAGGTGCTCACCTGGTTGGACGACCCGTCGGTGGCCCTCCTGCCACGTGCCCAGTGGCCTTCTGAGGTTCCGAAGGCGAGGCTGCTGGTCGACTCGCCTGCGGAGTGGGCGAGGATCGTTGGCCACTTGTACTCGCTCGGGATCGTGGAGGCCATAGAGGACGAGCAGATCTTTCGGGCGGACGGCGTCCCCGTGCTCAACGGCGCCTTCGCAGTTGAGAAAAGGGGCGTGCCCGAGGCTGGTGAGCAGAGGCAGTGCCGCTTCATCATGAACATGGTGCCAGCGAATAGTTACCTGAAGATCATGACCCAGGACCTGTCGACGCTGACGGCCTCGACCTCTTGGGTTACGGTGGTGTTGGAGGGCCAGCGCGTCTTGCTCTGGTCGGGTGACGACCAGCAGGGCGCCTTCTTTGTCTGGAAGATCCCGCGGGCCTGGCGCAGCTTCACGACGTTGAAGGGCCGCGTCCCCGGCCGCCTCGTGGGCCGCCCAGATCTGAAGACGGTGCATGTGTGCTCAGCCGTTATACCGATGGGCTGGCTGCTGGCCGTCACGTTATTCCAACACCTTCATAGACGCCTGGGCCTGCGCCCTCCCCCCGCTGGAGCGGGCCTGCCTGAGTTTGATGAGTGGAGGAGGGACAGGCCGCTCCCCATTGCTCAGGTGGGCGGTTGCAGGTCTTGGTACCAGTTCTTCATCGACGACTTCGATGCCCCCAGGATCGTGAACGACACCGAGGGGGAGGTCGGCGTCGGCTCTGCTTACCAGAAGCGTCAGAGGGCTTCCTACCAGCGCAACGGCGTGGCCTGGGCCGAACGCAAGGCCCACCTCGGGGAGACGAAGGTCGAGAGGATGGGCGTGCTCGTGGATGGTCTGCGCGGGCGCGTCTCGGTACCTCTCATGAAGCTCTTCGAGACCATGCTCTTGGGGGCCCTGCTGGTGACCAAGGACTGGGTCTACTGGAAGACCATGCTCGTGCTCCTGGGCAAGCTCGTCAGGGCTCTGGAGTTCAGGCGCGTCCTCTTTTGCATCCTCAACGAGGTCTGGAAGTTCGCGGATGGCACTCACTCTGGCTGGGTCAACTCGGAGATGACCGAGGAGATCCTCAGCGGCGTGGGCCTCCTCCCGCTTGCCTTCACGGACCTTCGCGCGGAGGTCGATGCGAGGGTTACCTGCTCTGACGCCTCGGAGGATGGTGGAGGCGCCTGCACGTCACTGAGGCTGTGCCCCGAGGCCCTCTCGAAGCTGACGGCTGCTGCCGCTGCAGACCAGGAGGGCAGGCAACACCTCATGGCGGGCCGTCTGCTGCTGGGCGAGGCGTCGCTTTGGCGAGCGTGGGAGTCGAGGAACCCTGGTTTGCCGCCCCCTGCTGGTGATAAGATACCTGCTGTCCTGGTCATAGGGCTGTTCGACGGCATCGGGGGCATGATCGTCTCGCTCTCAAGGCTCCGCACAAAAATCATTGGCTACGTCTCGTCGGAGGTTGACCCCAGCGCGCGCAGGGTCGTCAGGAAGAGGTGGCCCGGCCACATCGACTGGGGGAACATCAAAGACGTTGGGACTCAACACATTGACAAGCTGGTCCAGCTCTTCGGCGGGATCGTCG